ATACTACCATATTACGAGGATAGTCAGAATTTAGTAGTCGCTAGTAACATCATCAGAGGGCCGGTCAAGAGGTTGATGGCACGACTATAAAAAAGTGCTGTAATTGTGTCTGTCGTTTAACTAGTTTATTGGTTTTCCCCTTGCGAAAAACATTAATTGGAGTCTATTTGATCAATGTTTGTACTCGTTTTGAGGTTCAATTGTAACTTTCTCCTTCATGAAATGTGGCTAATTTACAAATACCTGCTGATGGCTTCCTGTGATCTAGTGGATAATAAGCTACCCAAGGTGATGTCAATCACTAACGTATATTACACGAAGCCGGTATATAATGTTTTTCATATGACTACTTGATTATATAGCGTTATAGAGCTGCATAAATTTTCTCTATGACACACGCGTTATAAATCCTTCAACTACCGTGAGTGGTTGCTTCCGTGTGAATTGTCTTCATACGCGCTGGAAAAAATGGTTACTTGGTTCAAGAGCTAAATTACCAAAAGGTTTTTCCGATCCAAATAATGCAAATCTTTTATCATCGTAACATTCAAAGCGTTAATAATAACAAACATACATCGAAGATCCCCTCATACACACGTGTATCACAGAACAATCAGCTGATATTGCCGTTGACAAACACCTCTATTACAATCCGAAGCAATACCAAGTCACCATTGTCGTACCAAGTGGCATCACATGCAAACAGTTACATAAGAATTAGCAAACAACGATTTTGTGGTACATTTGTTCAATTTTTATCAACCACATGTGACAATTTATAAAATATAAATAACATCTTGTGTCTTAATTTTATAACGAGATAACTTTATTCTGAAAAATTAATCACAACAATCCGGGTTAAATGTTGGATTATTTCTTCTCTCGCCTGTATCTTTGACCTGCTTCGGGTTTTGAGTGATTTTGTTTCACATTGTCGACGATTGGCTTGCAATGACTGTAAAGAGAAACTTTTTTTTTTTGAAAACGACGGTAAAAGTGTCAAATGGTAAAAAAGAATTTGTCTGTTGTTTCCCTTCATATAAGCTTGATGACACTCGTTCGGAATCTTTCAGTTTTGCTAGCAAGAGGCTCACACAAACAAAAAATACAAAACTCGTTTCATAAACCTTCATGTAGTATGAAGGGAGATGTTCTATATGTTATGAATAACATAATATAAGTTACAGATGTAGTAGATGTTAGCACCTTTTTGTTGACTTTCTGAAGCAGTGAATCATGTCAATGATTTCCATCTCCCGTTAATGTTCGTTTGTTGTCAAACAACAGAAGAACTCCTTAATATCAATTGATCATGAGGTAGTTACAAATCGAGGAAAGCGACTGAAGCAAAAAATGACCGCAGTGTCCCCCACTTAAAACTCGGAAGAGTATATACCGTGAACAAATGACAGCACATCGTCGGTATGTCTTAATGTGAAGCTGAAATGCTTGGCTAGTTGGTTACCAGCCTTGCTAAAAGCTCTTCAATAAAGAAGGCCTCAAACGAAATGAAAAGCATATCATTTTCACAGCACAGCTAAGTCACATACATATAGAAATGTCAAGAGTCTTTCTTGGAAAAGAAAGGTGTCATTACAACAGCCGACAGTTCTTATAGAACTAAGGTTTTGGGGTAAAGTGTCTTTATGATTCATTACATAACAAACTATAGGCATTGTCGATATCCACGTCACAATACCTCTGACATTATTGACAGATATAATTGTTTTTTTCATAAAAAAATCTTTATCTTAAAGTTACCTTATACAGGAATACAACTATGTATGTTTTGATAAGCTTATAAACAGATTAACGCAACATCTTGATATTGCACATTCAAACAAAAATTCAAAATTAAATCAGCATGGTTTAAAAGGATCCAAATGTAATGCTTGCAGAAAAGAAATGCAATCACGCTTTTTTATTTATATAATTTGAAAAATCGGTCCCTAGTGCATTGAGTCTTGACTTTACACGCCTTTTATATACAGCAGCTGTCGATACGCTAGCGTAGTTTGTATTTGTGACATCTGTATATCTTTGTGATTATCATATCTGGAAATTCTGCTTTAGTTTATTGTTTTAATTAATATACACCATACACTGTATAAATATTTGATAAGAACATGAAAAGCTTAATGTTTCAGATAACAAATAAGCAATAGTTTTTTAACAAAATTGAAAATAGTTTATTGCAGGTTTGAAGACAAAACATATATGGGTATATTCAGGACTTGTTACTCGAATTTTCTCCCAATCATTCAAAAACAACAAACGTACTTGATCACTGTGTGACGAAAATCCAAAAATGAACATGCAGCATTGGAAATCGATCATTACAAGTACAGTCACCACACACTGCGTGTTTGCTATAAAATATCAATACAAACAAAAATGTATCTTGTCCCTGATGTTTTTTTCTTATATTGCTGAAGTGAACTTATGTCTTCATTATCGTGCCAAGTGACGTCACATCCGGCGTCATGCACAAACAGTCACTCAGGCACTAGTAATAAATACTTTTGCTGTAAATTGTTTTTATTCTTTTTTTTTCAATCACAAATGAGAATTTATCAAATGTTAATAATAGCAACAAGTGTCTTAATTATATGACGAGATGAATTTATTCTGAAAAAGATGTTTCGCTTCATACAAAATGTATACACTGTATGATACTCGTTCAAAATCAGTCACTGTTTCTCTCAAAGAGACTCACAGTTTTGAAAATGAAATGACGATTTAAGTGTTTTTGTCTATACATTACAAGTTTAGTCATCACACACTGTGTGTACAGTTACAACTGGTTGAAATGGGTATAATGACACTTGTACTATTTCACGGTGTCTCCAAATAATCTAGAACCAGGTTTCAGGTCGTCCTTTTATCCAGTCAGCTATCTTAGGTCGGGATGCTATCCTTTCTTTGAATTCTCTGAGGTCATTACATTTTGCCATAGTTTCTGGAAAATTGCTCGAGATGTTTTCCAAGACAGTAAACACTTTAACGTCGGCTATGGAAAGCTTTAAAACAAAGAAATCAAAGCATTTGTATAACTAACTTTATTCATCATGTTTAATATTACAATTAGTAGAAGTACACCGTTAAGAAAAGTTTATGTTATGAACAACATTTGATGGAAAAAAGCATATCCGAAAACAAATCTTTTAATGTTTTAGATATTAATTCCATTTACAGTGCAGTCTATCAACAGAACATCTTGTACCGCTAGGAAGTCAATATCACCATTTTATTGTTCCAAATACAAACACAATTCGAACAGAAAATAGTTAATCGTAGTCCGTATAGTGTAGAGTTTACACAAGTCCATTCTTTTTGTTTATCTAATATACCTTTAAAACTTAATATTATATTAAGGAGGACTAAAGGGGCACAGGATATTTACGCTGTTTTATGCCGAAATGATACAAAACCCACGTCACAAAGAAAATGGTCTACGGTTTTTAACATTCAGGACAAATTATGGATAAAGATTGATGTATGTCCTTTTAAAACTACTAATAGTACTACATTAAGATGGCTTCAATACCGAATTAACCATAGAATCTTAACTACAAACACACTCCTACATAAAATGGTAATAAAACAAAATTCAACTTGTACTTTTTGTAAAAGATTTCCAGAAACAATTGAACATCTATTTTGGGATTGTGGTAAAGTATGTGAAATTTAGAGAGAACTAAAACAATTGCTTGCAACCAGTAATATTGATTTGAATTTTGACAAACAGGAATTTATATTTGGACAATTCAGTTCTAAGGATGCTGATTTGATAGTGGATAATCTTATCCTATTATTGATTAAACAATACATTTTTAAAATGAAATGCCTAGAAATGGAACTTAATATAACAAGTTTAAAGAATCACATTCTTTTTGAACTTAAATCTCATAAGATCTTGATAATTAAGCATAAAAACTGCAAAAATAATATAGTCTTGCTTAATAAAGTAGAAAAATGGCTTCTCTTATAAAATAATGTGAACAATTATCATTATACTATAAAGAAAAGTTTGCAATCCCCCCCC